AGGAGCAGGAGTTGAGGGGATCCAGCGAAACCTGGGAAGCCTTTAATGTTTTTGGAGCAAAGGTTTGGCTACGGGGATCTTAGACCACCTTATGCCTTGAGGAGGTTCTCTGCACTTCACTTCTAATGTTTTAGAAGTCGATTTGCCTTCCCAGTCTTGTCAGCCAAGTGTCAGCAGGCTCCAAGGAGAACTTCTGAGTTTTTCTCTGGTCGTGGGAAAAGGAAAAGCTGTAAAATGTGGCTTTGCGGGTAGTCTGGGAACACAGAGGCTGATTTTTATGCCTTCCTCTTCCCTTCCAGTTCAAATCAGGTGATAATGTTTACTGAGCCAGAGCTGAAAGTCAGGTAGAAGACGTGGTGTGGTCCGTGCCAGGATTGGGAATGGCACTGTAACTCTCCTCGGTGAGGAGAAGCTGCAGCTTTCCTGTTGCTGTCTCGCATGCAACTACAAACCAGCTTTGGTTTTTACCTCTTTTCTTTTTTGATTGCTTGAAATTTCCACCTTAGTCTTTTCCTGGAGGATTTTCCAAAACTTTTAACCTTCATACCTCCTGCTGGGACTGATGAAGAGAGCTGTCCTGCTTCCAAAGTCACGGGACATCCATATTTGTTTGTGGGTTCATTCCCTGATGAGTGGTGGCGTCTTCCTGTTGGATTTTGTTTTGCAGCAAAAATTTCAGTGTTGGTTTTTGGCAGACTCTCTCGTTAGACTGCATAATAGCTCCATTTTCTCCTTCTGACGTTTCCTATCATCCTTGGATTTGGAGGCTTGAAAGCTAGTCAGTGCTGAGAGGAGAATTAAAAAAAGGAAGAGTGTCAAGGCCTTTGAAGGTGGCAATGCTGTGACGATGTTATATTCAGCCATACCTTCTGGGTGATAGAATGTTGCACAAACAGCCAAGCTGTCTGGCTGCTTTGCATCACACCAGATAGGAACATGCAGAGGGTAAGTGATGCAAGTGTAAAACATCAGATTTTGCAGAGTCCTCTCTCTATGTCATAAGGTTATGTTACCAACAGGAGCTATATGCTATTTATAACCTCAGCTGCGCTTATCGGCATGTATGGCTTATCTTTCCTTGTAACATCCAACTGCTTCAGTCCCTTTTTATTTTGATAGTTTTAGGATCAAGCTGATTGAGCCGTGGCTTGTGAATCTGTTGCTGTCTAGCGTTGCTGTAATCTCTTCTGAAATATTAGTCGCTGGGTGCAGTCCCTTGGGGAGAGAGGAGTGAGAAATTGGAGAGAGGTCAGCAAACCTGAGAATGCCGGAAGATGTGAGAGAGCGCTGTAACTTGGCCTGAAGTATTTACTTCTAGGTGGTGATGATGGAAGGGAGTTGGGATATAGATCTGCTGCTCCCTGGGGCTGTAAATATCCAGCGGGGAGAAGGTGGTCTTTGAAAGCAGGGGATCATTTAGGGGAGGGATTGTTCTTTCTGGAGCCAGGAACCCTGTTTTCTGTCTGGGGTACTTAAATCTAGTTTGCTGTGAAAAACCACAGCGCAGATGGGAAGATGGGCAGGGTGACCTTATTTTCGGTTGTGGAGGCGGAAAGTCCAGTTTTATCTGAAGGCAATTTCTCCTGGGGCTAACCTTTTTGCTTGGATGAGCAAATGGGTTTGTTTTGGGAGACTGGGACTCTCCCTTCCCTGGCCAGGGATGTGTGTAGTGCAGGCCTTCGGAGTCTTCTGCTCTCGTAACTGCAACCAGTCACGGTAAAATCCTGGAGTCTGTCTGCCCCACAGATGGGCTGACTCTTGACCTGTTTGTCAGCACAGCTTTGGGTATTCCCTGCCTGTTTTTCCTTATCTTGTACCGCTTCTGTGTCCTTACCGGTCTTTGCCTGGCTTTGGCTCACCTGCTTTCATCTCTTGGCTGTGTATAACAAGTTAACTGTGCCTGTCTATCCCATGCTATGCAGTTGGTTGTACGGCCGCTCCAGCAGTCTCCTGGCAGCATGTTGCACGCACTCGGTGTGATCGGGGGGCAAATATCTCAGCCTGACGGTTCGCTTGTTGCCTCGGTAGATGGCTCTTCCCGATCATTGGCCACATGGGTATCTGCACGTCGACTGGAGTCATTCGGGACTTCGCGGGGCCGTACTTTGTCTCAGTAAGTAGACGGTGGATCCGGGTGCTCAAGCAGAATCCGTGCTGCGTCTGCTTCTCACCTTTGTTGGTGACTTTTGAGCCATCCCCTGTCTTTTGCAGCTCAAAGTTCTGCAAAGTCATGGCTTTAGATGTTGCTGAAGATCACGGATCGTTGCTATTACTCTGTGGGCTTCTGCCCAGTGGAGGTTGTTTGGGGGATATGATAGCGGCTAGTTTGGTTTGGTGAGCAGAAGAGAAAAATCTTGTAGTCCAGGCTCTTAAGTAGGAGTTTTGGACCTAAATTCTCTTACAGTAGTTTAATTCGGAGTAGTAGAAGCTGCCTTCCAACTTCCTCAGCATGCCTGTTACTATCATGCTACTTGGCATCAGGCATGTACCAGTCTTCTAAGCTGCTTTATAGTCTGATGGATTTTGGAAGTAAAGGAGTTTTAATTTGGGATAATGAATACTCTTAATAGATTGGGACATTTACAACTCTGACTTAACAAGATATTAACAGTTTAAAAAAAAAAATAAAGGAGGGATAACAAGGTACTTACACCATATAGCTAGGTGATGTCACGGTGTGTAGAGTATAAATATACTCATGCCCAGAACAGGAGTATGCAAACAATTGAAATCTAAATCCAGACACACAAATAAGATTGGTGTCTTGAGACTGCTGAGGCAATGTGACAGTTTTATCACTGAGCAATCACGGGCTGTGAAGCCTTCCGGCAAGAGGCATGTCATGAATATTGCGCGGGGTTATCCTCTTGAGACGTTTCTCCTTTTTTGTAGGAAGACAACATGGCATTTGGGAAGCCAGTAAAGTAAGTGCTCTTGTTAGTTTTTATTAAACTAACCAACTGACCTGCAGATGTCCTTTAATTCATGGAGACAGACATGCTATAATACTGCTTTTCTTGTTGTTCAGATACCCTAATTCAAGTGGATGGCTACTGTGTCTCTGCTTTTCAAGAAACCACGTTAAATTAAATCTTTTTAGAAGCGTGACAGCAATGTAATGGTATTAATAACTAGAACTGTGTGGAGCCTTTCTTTCTTTTTTTTTTAAATAAAAGAAAGGCTAAAACATTTTAAGATAATATTAACAAGTGCTCCAAGTAAATACTGCCTGCGCTGTACTAATGAACTGTCATCACTCACATCCTGTTAATGATTTTCTGGAGGGAGGAGGAGAGGTGCCTGGGTTTTGTGTCTCTGTCAGATCAGGTTTACGTTTTGAATGGCCGGAAGGTTTCGTATCATGGGATGTGAAAGCAGTTCAGAGTTTTGTCTGTGCCCCTGAGGTCTGCAGTTTCTCTCTCTGGGGTGCTGTCAGGCTGAGGGTGCTGAGCAGTACTTTCTGCTGCCCTCTGCAGCATACGCTTGTCTTGAAGAGCTCGGCTCCGCGGACTCCAGAGGTAGTGGATTTCTCTAAGTCCTTTAAGTATCTTCCTGCTGGGAAGAGCAAGAAGTCGTGAGGGTGCAGCAGTAATGTGAAGGGATTTGTTCTCATCCTTCTAGGTACTGGAAACTGGATCCTGGCAAAGTATACTCCACCGGTCCCAATGCCTGGGACACGGCCGTACACGATGCCTCGGAGGAGTACAAGCACCGAATGGTACGGCTCTGGTGACAATGTCCTGTCTGTGGAGCAATATCTCCCCAGCATTTGGGTCCTTGCTGTAGGAGTGGGACCTGTGGCTCTGCACCAGCACAGGGTGCAGAACTGGGGAGCCTCAAGAACAGGATTTCTAATCCTCTGCCCCTTTTTCTGTTCCAGCACAACCTTTGCTGTGATAACTGCCATTCTCATGTGGCTCTGGCCTTAAACTTGATGAGATACGATAACAGCACCTCCTGGAACATGGTGAAACTCTGCTTCTTCTCCCTCCTGTATGGGAAGTACGTAAGGTGAGCTGAGGAGCAGTCTGGATTCAGCAGGCAAAGGGGCTCTCTTCCTTTTGTTCTTCCTAGCCCTCTAAAGCTTCAGCCTGTCCTGTGGAGAAGAGAGAAACATCTCTCCCCCACCACATGTGGGTGTGTTGCTGGTAGGTGGTGCTGTCACTACCTGCTGCCTGTTCTTAGGAAGAGAACCAAGAGTGCTTGCTAGGTTGCACTACATGCTGCTCCCAAAACACTGTATCTGGCAGCTAATTTAGGGTGCTTGGAATTTGGGAAATGCTAGCGAAAGCAAATCTCACTCTCTGTTGGTTTTTGGCTGGGTTAGGTCAGAACATAAGGTCACAGAATGGCTTGTCTCCAAGGATTACTGGTTTCTCTTTCCTCTCTTGAATCTTGTTTACATAAAAACTAGTCAGATTTCCAGCTGCCCTGGAGCTTCCAACTTGAGTGGAGAGGGAAACCCCGAGCTTTCCTTACTAGAAAGGGCACTTAATCTCCATTTCAGCTCCTTGTGCCTGAAGAAGAGATTCTGCAAGGACTGCCCTGCATAAAGCTTTTGAGTTGCTCCATTTTTGTTGGGTATTCCCTGTTCTGGAAAAGCTTCTCTACCAGCTTTTAGGCAAGGTATTCCCTGCTGTCTTGGTTAAGTACACCAGCAGTCTGAATAACGAGGCCTGTGGTAATGGGGTTTCATTTTTTGTGGTCTCCTGTCACCAGTTCTATCTGTGCGGATACAAAACGTGCTAGTCTTCGACCTGAATTTAAGCTGGGAGGAGAGTCCAGCCCTCTTGTTCATGATACAGTTATTTGTGGGCCTGATTTAGTGTCAGTTTTTAACACTGACTGTCTCCAGGATGTGATGTGTGGCAGTGCCAGCAATGGATAAGAAAGTCAGAAGGGCATCTGTCTGCCTCTGATTTCTCCAGTTATTCTCACATCCTTCTCTCCCTTTTGTCTTTCTCTGCTGATTTCTTACATTTAAACCCTTCCCCTTTTTTCCTTTTTGCAGCATAGGGGGATTTGTGAAGACCTGGCTTCCCTTTGTCCTCTTCTTGGGGGTGATCGTGACCATTGTTCTGACACTTCATTTGCGGTGATGGCAGCTGTGAACTCCCTATTCCATGGGCACACGAAGAAAGAAACTGTGACTGATCCAGCGAGATGGAGGCATGGGACTCTGGGAGGCGTTTTCCGGGGAAGACGGCAACTCCACTCCATTGTAACAGCTCATCTTTGTTTCCTGGAACTGGCTTCTTTTCCTTCTGTTTTTGTTCTGTCAATGGTGTCTCCCAGTGTCAGGGGTCCTGAAGCTCCCTGCTCTCTCCCTGAATGTGCTCCCTTTCTGCAGTTTGGTAGGTAGAAACGCAATCAGGAAAAGAGAGGCGTGAGCACCTTTGCTTTCAGTGCCAAGTAAAGCCGCAAGGCAAACCCTGCCTCCTGGTTCAGGAGCACGAGCAGATACACCTTGTAAGGTTCTCTCTGATCGCTTGGTTTTCTTCCTCTTGGCAGACTTCATCAGATGCTTCCTCAGATTTGCCGAATCTCCAAGAAGGAGTTGCTGTTTCCCTCTTGCACGTCTCTCTGTAGCACACGTTTCGAAGTGGAGGTGTGGGGTTCCTCCCGAGGGTGCAGAGTGCCACAGCACTCACTGACGGTCTCCCCAGTAGTGACAGAAAGGTGTTGATGGCGGGATGCTCCTCTGAGGAGACACGCAGAGGAACGCTCTGTGGCAGGGCAGATTCATCCGGTCCTGCTGGTGAGCCCAGAAAGGCAGGAAAGTCGATCGACTGGCTTGGGTACGGCTCATGGCAATCTCCACACTTTCTCTAGCCTGTTGCGGAGCTGGGAGTCTACTGTTAAGTCTCTTTTAGCTTGTGCCGGAGAAAATATAGCTTCCCTGCATCTCCCTGTGTTCTGAATATCTAAAATTGTCGTTACACTTCTCACAAGCCACTTATTTTCCTTCAGTCCCTAGTACTTTGTGTGTCGCAGCACACCTGAGCCTGCAGAGGCAGCGGTAGCAGCAGGGACGTGTTTCTGGGGCAGAAGGCTCAGCGTAGGGTTTTGAAAGCATCCATGAGAGCAGCACCTGAGACCTGAGCTTAATGGGGCCAGCAGAGATTAAAAGAAGAGGTGAAGGGACTGGAAGTGTTCTGGTTGGGCTTTGCAACAGCAAACTGGGGCACTGGCTTTCTCGCAGCTGGTTCCAGGATGGTGAACAAGGTCTGTTTACTCCCTTGGCATGCTTTGAAGAGCACACCTGGGGTAAAAGCACTTTGCAGGCCTGGCTTTGATGTGAGAAACGCTGGCCTGGCAGCGTTGGGGGGCTGGTGGCCCTTTTGAGCCCTGGATCGGGCAGGACTGGTGGTAGGGGGTTAGGTTGGTTTTGAGTGCTAGGCAAGAAGTGAATTTGGATGTGACCCAGAACCTCTTCCAGGGCGAGAGGTCCAGGTCTGTGTTTGCTGAGGCTCTGGCCTGCAGGTGCTGCTTTCTGTGGGGCTCTGAGCCAGGTGGCTTTTTGAAAGAAGTGTGGCTGAAGGGTTATGTGCAGTTGAGCAGATCCCCTCTGACTGCGGAGGAAGGAGAATAGCTTTTCCACTCCTGCCTTGAAAGGCCACCTCTTTACCCTGCTACCTGATGGATTTCAACCTCAAGGAGTGCTTGTGGCCAGCAAGAAAGCTTTTCTCGACCGCCCGCTGTCTCTGTGGCTTCCTCTGGCTGGGAAGCCCATTCACTGTCACCCTGCTGGCTCTCAGACCTGTCCCCATGTGCCTCCTCATCCTCTCCTGTCTCCCCAGTGGCTTCAGCCACATGGGAGGGTTGGGGACTCTTCTTGGACTTCTTAATTTCTGCATTTCCTCCTTTTCCTCAGTCACTTTTAAAGAACCCCTTAAACCTCACCCTTCTCCCTGGCATCCAGTTGTTTCTTTATCATCTGGTGCTGGCCTTTCTGGGGCAGGTGGAGATGTGCAGACCTCGGCACCCGTCCCCATCTACCTGGAACTGAAATAGTCGTCGGTGTCTGCTCTCTGCAGTCATGTCAAGCCTGTGTGGAGAGCAGCCTGGGGCTGATTAGAAAGCCAAGATCTTGATCAAAGAGAACCTTACGATGAAAGGATGGTGTCTTACCGAGCTAGTCTGTGTCGCTGCGGTCTCCGCCCAGCTCGCCTGCTGGCTAACGTGCCCTAGGACAAGCCAGTTGAACAGGAGAGATTAGTCTTTTGCCTCTTTTTAATTTAAGTATGATTTTGCAGATTGACCCGCCAAGGATGCGCTCGGAGTCCCTGGCCCCAGGGCTGAAACCAACCTGTCTTACGCAGTAGCAATAACCTAGAGACTCTTAGGCCTGTCTCACACTTTGTTTTATCGATAAGCTGTACAAGCGTTGCCAAAGCTGAGACTTCAAGTTGTCGGGGGAGGCTGGGAGTGGGGCTGCTGGCCACAGTCCCCGCTCCTGGGACTTCTGAAAACATGTTGATTGCCATTCCCCACCGTGAAAATCCTTGTTTGCTCCTAATGCTTTTTACCAGATCTGGGCTTTGAATGGAGAATTTGGCAGCATTTGACTTTTCGAATTTCAAATTTGGCAGCAGCAAATGGACCTTGTAGTGGGTTGGAGTGCTGGCTGCTGGGGAGGAAAGGCAGCGCGTTGCCCAGTCCTGGCTGAACAGCCGACCTGCTTCCACCGAGGGAGACGGAGGATGGCTCTGAGCATCCAAAGGAAACACAGCTAACGGGGGAGCAAGGCCCGAAGCTGAGGTACCGCAAAGCCAGCCTGCACGTCTGTGCTGGACATGCAAAGCCATCTGTGCTCACAAAATGAAGGATGGTGCCTGCAGAGGTCAGATGCTGGGAGAGGTGGGTGGGCTGGTCGGATTTATGGTCTTCCTAGGCTGCGATCGCATCAGCCCAGTGCTGCGGGAGCGTGGAGAAACCCCGGCGGGGGGCGGGGGGGGGGGTCCG